GAAATAATAGGTTCATTTCTCCCTTCAACAAATTCATACCCTGCCCCCAAACCTCAGGCCCCCCTCCAACTAAAACAAAGCTTGAAAAACAAACCCAATTTCCTTATTGGCTTGGGACAAACACAAAGTTGCTCCTTTCATTCTTCAATGGGAAGGAAGTGCATGAACAACAAAAAATTCTCAGAGCTACATACAAAAGGGACATAAAAGAGGGCTGCATTGTTGATTCCGCCGTTCAGACAAGGGTCAAGATCCAGCACAGACATGGCTGTTGAGAGCTCACAGACACTTCTCCTGCTGGCTGTCCTTGCCCTGAGCATCTTTGTTAAAGCAGCTAAAGCTTTTATATTTTCCTTCTAAGCACTGCCAAAATTCAGAAAAGATTCCAGATCTAATGAGATTGTATCTGGCATTGAGCAAAATCTAGAAACTGTAAGATCAAAACCTAAGTATAACATATGTCTAGACCGTGGAGTGTCAAAGAATTTCTTGTTGAGTTAATTTTTAAAATCTTTTTAACTTCCTGGGAAATATTTAACTGTAAGCATCTGTGCTTGTCTTACCAGAGACAACGCGATGTCAGTGTATTCAGACACATTCTGACTTTGTTTCTCCCAAATTCATTACAAATGTCCAGTTGATACCTGAAGGTGCTCACTGCAGCAGAAAAGAAATCATGTAAGTAGTAAAGATAAACTCATTTATTATCTCAAAGTTCTATAAGTCAGTAGTCTAATGGCTTGACTAGGTTCTTTGCTTAGAGTTTCATGAGGCTTAAATTAAGGTGTCAGCGAGGTTGACATCTCATCTGGAGGCTCTGGGAAGAACCCACTTCCCAGATTTATTATGTTGTTGGCTGAATTCAGTTCTTTGCAGTTGTTGGATTGAAATACTCATATTCTTTCTGGCCCTTGGTTCATGGTCACTTGCAGCTCCTAGAGGCTACCCTCAGCTCTTTCCATATCAGCAGCTGAGAATCTGCCTTACATTGAATTGATCTCATACTTTAGATCTCTCTTTCTCTTCTGCTACCTGCTTTTAGGACCATGTGATTACATTGGGCCCACCTGAATCATCTCTCTTTGGGTTAATTTAGTCAACTCACAGGAATCTTAACTCCATCTGCAAAGTCCCTTTGCCATATAATGTGACATAATCACGGGTGTAATATCTCATTATGTTCCTAGAGACTAGGGAGGAAAACATAATGGCTCTTCTTAGGATTCTCCCTAATGTGCATACAAAAGAGTGTGTAAATATATACACATACAGTTTAAGGAACAGTAAGAGAGAAAACACCCATTCACTTGCCATCCAGGCCAAAATCTAGAACATGATTAGTACATCAGAAGCCTGCACGTGGAAAACATCTATTATGGGCTGAAGTGTGTTCTCTCTAAATTTTTATGTTGAAGTCCTAACACCTGAAACCTCAGAGTGTGACTGTTATTGGAGATAGGACCTTTAGAGTCGTGATTAAAGTCAAATGAGGTCACAAGGTGGGGCACTAATCCAATGTGACTGGTGTTCCTGTAAGAGGGAGAGACACCAGGAATACATGCACACGAAGAAAAGGCCTGTGAAGATACAGCAAGAAGATGGCCTCCTGCAAGGCTAAGGTGACAGGTCCCAGAAGAAACCAAACCTGCCAAAACCTTGACCTTGAACTTACAGCCTTCAGAGTGAGATAATAAGTTTCTGTTGTTTAGGCTACCCAGTCTGTGGTATACTGTTATGTCAGACCTAGCAAACCCCCCAAATCATATACCTCCCCCACGCTAAGAAATAATTACTATTTGAGGTGTCGTTTCTTCCTTTTAAAAATAGTTTTGCCATCTGTGTATGAAATCTAAAAATTACAATTTTGCCTGTGTTATGGATTGAATGTGTGCCCCCCCCCAACCCCAAATTCATATGTCGAAATCCTAAACCACAAATGTTTCTGTATTAGGAGGTGGGGCCTTTGGGAGGTGGTTAGGTCATGAGGGTGGGGCCTCATCACTCATTAATGGGATTAGTTTCCTTAAAAAAGAGACCACAGAGAGTTCCTTAACCTTCCAACTTGTGAGGACAGAGTAAAACGGTGGCCTTCTATGAACCAGGAAGTAGGTTCTCACCAGACACCAGATCCCTGGCACTTTGATCATGGACTTCCCAACCTCCAGAACTGTGAGAAGTAATGTTTGTTGTTTACACCACCCAGTCTGTGGGGTTTTGTTGTTGTTTTTTGTTTGTTTCTCTGTTTGTTTATAGCAGCCCAAATGGACTAAGCCTACTTTTTAAAGAATTTAAATTCAAATTGGTTAACATATAGTGTATTATTAGTTTCAGAGTTGAGTTTAGTGATTCATTTGTTGCATATGACACCCAGTGCTCATCATATCAAGTGCCCTCCTTAATGTCCATCACTCAGTTACCCCATCCCCCGCCCACCTCCCCTCCAGCAACCCTGAGTTTGTTTCCTATAGCTAAGAGTCTCTTACTGCTTTGGAACTTCAGGCCCCCATGCTGAATATATTCTTTGATTATGCAACATTTTATTCTGCAACACATGCATTTTGATATGTTTAGCTGTAGTTTATTCAATTTAAATGACATTTAGCAGTAGTAGGAATACTAAATAAATACCAAATTTGCTTATCTAATCCACTATTGGTGCACATTGAGGTTCTTTCCAGATTTTTGCTATTAGCAACATTCTGTATATGTGGTTCATGTATATGAGAATTTCTCTAGGGATTACTTGCTGGTTTAAGGTTTGCATCTATTTAACCTTACTAGGCTATGCCACACTGTATTACTGTATTATGGTACATAAAACCACTTGTTGTATTATATATTGGCCAATATCTGGTGGCGTTAACCTGATGAGTATATAATGGTATCCTTTAATTGTTCTTTTAATTTGCATTTCTCTATTATTAATGAGGTTGAGTATTTTTTCATATGTTTATAAGCATTTGTGTTCCTCCTTTTGTGAAATGTCTTTTTTCTTATTTTAAAGATTTTATTTATTTATTCTTGAGAGACACAGAAACAGAGAGAAAGGCAGAGACACAGGCAGAGGGAGAAGCAGGCTCCAGGCAGGGAGCCTGACTTGTGAATCCATCCGGGGTCTCCAGGATCAGGCCTTGGGCTGAAGGTGGCGCTAAACCGCTGAGCCACCCTGGCTGCGCCTTTTGTGAAATTTCTGTTCATTCCTTTGTTTCTTTTCCTACTTGCATACTATCTTTTTCCTATTGGCTTACAGGTATTGTATTCTTTATATATTATGAGTATTAATCTTTTGTCAGATTTATGGATAGCAAAGCTCATTTTCCAATTTGTGGCTCATATTTTCCTTCATTCTATGGTGTTCTTTCAATTAACTTAAGTTTGTGTTTCTAATATACTGAGTTAAGCAATATGCTTTTTTTCTGGTTAGCACATTCAGTGTTTGTTTCTTTCATAGACTTCACAGAAATATTCCTCTATATTGTCTTCTAGAGTTTCTATAGTTTATTTTCCTTTGTATTTAAAACTTTAACCCAAGTGGAACTAATTTTTGTATGCGACATAAGGGAATTAATACAATTTTATCTTATTTTTCTATGTGGTTCATCAATTATTTCAGCACTGCTACTTCCATCATAAACTGAGTTCCCATTGATGTGTAAAGATATTTCTGACTTCTCTATTCTGTTCAATTAATCAAGTTGTCTACACTTGTACACCATCTTTACTAAGATTTTATACTAATTTTTGACATCAAGAAAGGAAAATTCTCCCATCATCTCCAGAGCAGATTTTCTCAGACTTTTGTTTGTTCTTCTAAACAAATATTAGAAGCGGCTTGCAAATCTGCACTAATTTAATTATAATTTTGAGTGAATTTCTTTGAAGTTATTAATTAATTTGTGATTAATAATTAAGATTATAATCTTAATAATTAAGATTAATTTGTGAATTATTGACATTCTTATGATTCTGAATTATTTCAAGAGCATAAAATAGTTCTCAATTTATCAAGGGCTTCTTTAATGTCTTTAAACAAAGTTTTGTTATTTTCTCCATAAAGACCTTACATATCTTTTTTATTATTTAAGAAAAAAAGCACATTTCTAGTCACTTTATATTTTTTGATGCTGTTGTAAAGAATAGCTTTATAAAATTTTATGTTCCGGTTGTTTTTAGGATTTAGAGATAAAATTTTTAGTTAATTTTGTAACTGTGAATTCTTTACTTGGGTAGTCACATCATCTGACAATAATGGTAGTTTAGTTTCCTTCTTTGGAAACTTATGCCTTTATCTTTCTAGCTTTTGGAGATAGCTTTTGGACTCTTCTTTCTGCATTCAAAGGGAATACTTACAAGTTTTCACCATTACATTTGATGTTTTGAGGCTATCTTTGTATTGGTAACTTGCTCAGAAGTTATTGCTACATTATCATCATTATCTCTTTCACTATGATCCGGTCCTCATGTAAGGAACTTCAAAGAGGTAGAGATTTGTGGTTCTGTGAAGTACACTTGAAAACTATAGAGGTAATTTAAACTACAGACTTAATTTAAATAAGCAGTTTGTGTTCGCCCTCCCTCCCCGAATAAGTGAGACTTTAGCAAGGTCCAAAAGCCAGCACAATTAGCACAGGTATAAAGATAAAGAATGTATAGTAAGTGGTTGATAATTGGCAGCCAGGAAGATGTTACCTTTCTGTAGATTTTTCCAGAGTCTAACTAACACCTGTGTAGCACAAGTCCAATAAATGTTTGCTGACTTGTTGATAACCCAAAAAGTCTAAGAAAAAAATTATTCTTTAATTGATTTTTAAGATTTCATTATGTACACTGGTATGACTGAAAACCATACTCCAATAATATGATTAATGTAGTTTGAGAAATAAATCCATATCCATTTTAAGCATAAAATTTCATGTTATTGAAATTTTAATCAATAAATTCAAAGCATTATTGATTTACATATAGTTATCATTTACCCAAAATGCTTTTTTTTTTTTCAGAGTCACACTGAAAGATGAGAAATTAATCTGTTTGGATCCTGAGGCTGAATGGGTGATGATTATTATCAAAAAGATTACCAACAGGTATAATCAATGCCAAGGATTCTCATATTCATACTTTCTCTTTTCTTTTAATTAAAGATATTTATGAGTATATACAGACTCTGCTATAGGTCAGAATAAAATTACAGTAAGATTAATGAGTCTATACCAGAAAATCAAAAGTGTGGTCCCAAGACTGGCAGAATTACCGTCACCCAGTAACTCATTAGAAATCCAAATTATTAGGACTCAGCTCAGACTTACAGGATCAGAAACTGGGGTGCAGCCCAACAGTCTGTATTTTAACAAGCCCTTCAGATGATTCTGATGCATGACCAAGTTTGAGAACCATTGATCCATACCTTCTATTTAACACACTATCCTAGTTGACCTGTGTTATAAATATCCCCAATTAATATAAAAATGATTGAAATTTACTAGAACTGTCTCGTTCAGATCAGCTAGGCAGGCAATAGACATATATGGTGAAAAAAATTTAAGAAAAAAAATTCCCCTTTGAAAAAATTTTATCTCCAACATTTTTAGAAACTAGACTCCAAAGAGAATTTGCAAATTGGTGAATGGAGAAGATACACTAAGGACAGGCAGGTGACAATGGGAGTGTGTTCGGATTGACTTCTGGGGAGAAAAATCAAGCTAGGAGTTTTAAGCCATAGCAGTATGTAAGAAGAGAGAGGTGACCAGTCCTAATGGAAAACCTAAATTTTGTGGATTTTTTTTTTAGTTAAAAAATAAACAGGAAAACAAATTAAGGGTATGTGGAGTTATGATTCGCCCAGAGGATCACCTTGACAGTTACGTGTCAATGTGGTGGGAAGAGTTTGAATTTGTGAATCATATATTTATGGTTTAATGTTCCAGATCCACAGCTATAAGTCACATCATTTTGGTTAATTCACTTAACATTGGGATTTGTATGATTTCATTTGTCCTTACTTGGCTTTATCTTGGGGGAAGTAGAGGTTACACATGTAAAGTGATTATGGCTGTTATTAGTTTTCAGCTTACCAAATATGTAAGCTTTTTTCTTTATTCTTCAGAGTTCTTGCTTTTTTTCTTAAAGGCACCACACATGGGAAATCCTGTGTATTTGTATAGTTACTTGTTGCTCTGCTTGTATTGTAGTGCTCCCAACTGATGGTCACACAAGGAACGTCACATCCTATATGGGTATGGAGAGCCACTGGTATCTGTGAGCTTGAACATCCTCCAGAGTTTTCTTTGAAAGTAGCACCAACTTATGCTAATTTATGACTAAAATGAACTGCCTTCTTTACTCATTCTGACAACTTAAACATTGTTTTCAGGCAGGAGATTGGCTACTTGTGTGGAAATAATGGAAGAAGAGGTAATGAAATTTCTATTATGTTGGAAGAATAATCTCCCAAACTCATATTGTAGGTGAGAGGTTTCCCTGTTAGGCTCAGTATACTTTAATGGAGTCTACCTCTTCCTTGGTGTACTTTACCACTTAACTTTTTAGTGGATCTGGCTTTTGATCAGACTTTTCACTCAACTCCATCTTTGGAGATTATTAACAGTATATTTCTTGATTAACTTATCAACATTCTGACCTTTGATTGCTTGGACTTCTGAGTTCCAAAGGCTTTAACTTGCTCCCTATTTTAGTCACCTACAACTTTGGATGTCAGTATAAAGTTGGGTTTACCTATAGTCTTCAAAACTGAAATACCTCTTTTAGAGAAATTTTTTATTCATTATAAAACCTATGCATTTAGTAAGAAGAAAATGGGGTTTATACACTTATATAGAATTGTCTTAATTTCTAAGAATTTACTCTTAAATAGAGCAAACCTAATAGATAGCATCAGCCAAGTAAAGTAATCCAACCCAGGAAACTGTAAAGTCATTGAGTTGGAAGAGGAAGGGAAGGAAACTTAGTACCATCTAGACCCAAGGAAAATCACAAGGATGATGCCTCAGAAAGATGAAATGGAAAACACAGAGCTAAAGTTGTGTTCTAGTCATTTAACTTCTTCTAGGTAGAATTTCTGCATATGCAACACCATATTGAGTGAATAAACATATTTCTTCTTTATTATTTCTGAAGGAAAAAATGTGTTAACAGATGAATGATGTTCTCATGGAGCCAATGAATAGGAGTGCTGTTTCAGAAAATGTCTTAGTCAGTTGGGGCTGCTAACAGATTACCAAATTACCAAATTGCTAACAAATTAGGCCAAATTGTTGGCTTAAACAACAAACATTTATTACTCACAGGTCTGGAAGCCAGGAGTCCAAGGTCAGGGTGCCAGCATGGTCAAGTTCCTGAGAAGGTCCTAGTTTATAGATGGCCATTTCCTTGCTGTGTCTTCACATGATGGAAAAAGAGAGCTAGCTCTCTGGTCTGTTCTTTCTTTTCTTTTCTTTCTTTTTCTTTCTTTCAATATAAGGGTACTAATACCATACATAAGGATTCTACTCTCATGACCCGGTTACTTTCCAAAGGCCCCCACCTCCAAATACCATCATGTGGGGATTAGAGTTTCAACATATGAACTTTGAAGGGACATAAACATGCAATCTGTAGCAGAAAGGGATTCAGTCCTTGGACATTGGAGCCCTGAGGACTTTCTCTTGTCATCTGTTGTGTCTTTATCTCTCTCTGCTGACCTGGGATTTTTCTCTTCTCTCTGATTTTTGAGTCTTGATGACAAGTCATCTGCAAAAAGTAACATACTTTCCCTTATATTCAATTTCCAATTCCTGAGTGAGAAGACCTTATTGGCTATATGGATTCAGGTGTCCACAAAGGTCCAATGAACTGTGGCCAAGGGATAATAGTTAAATAGTGCAAGCAAGGCCATCTGGAACTTACACTGTTGGAATGCAGAAACAGCTAAGTGAGAGTTTCTTATGAACTGAATCTTTCAAAGGATCACTACGTGTGTGTCCTCACATGTGACAGGGGAAAACAAAGATGAAAGAGAAAATGTATTTCCTCAGGAGAAACTATTGTACTTTCAAGAGGTGATGTGCATGTATTGAAAGAGCCCTGGGCAAAAGGTCCAGAGGTCTAGGCTCTGCAATTCTGTCTTAACTTCGCTGTACTCTTTTGTAAATGTGAAAATATGGCAAACAAAATAAAGTATCTTCATTCCTCACAGGATTGTTAACAGGAGATAATAAAATAAAATTGCTTAGAAAGTAAGCATGAAAAATCATAAAGTATTATCCTTATTATTAGTAAAATGTTAAAATCAATTCTCAATCAGTACCTAAGATGGCCAGTTTTATGGTGGCTATTTACATTGTCTTATCCACAATTCTAACAATTCCAACTGTCTCTAAACTGTCTGAAGCAAGTGGTAAATTTTGCTGCTGTGGATCATGGCAAAAATAATAATCATGTTACTAAGCTATACACTAAGAATTAGCTCTAGGTTTGGGCTTGATGCAAAAACGATCTCAGGACCACAAGTACAAGACTGAATATTTTAGAATATAAAATTCCAAATTTCAAGGGAAAGGGATCAAGCTGGCACAGTTTGTGTCACGCACCCACTCATGGTCTAGCACCCTAGGACAGGAGGGTAGAGACACATCACAGAGACATGGCCAGTAGCAACCCCAGGACAAGGCAGGGCATTTCCAGAGTAGCTGGTAGACAGCTCAGTGGGGTGAGTCAATAGATTAGGTTTGGCTGGAGAGATCATCATTTTAGATGAATCTAAGATGCACCAAAGAGATAAAAATACAGACTATATAAAAAGGCTGAGATGTCAAGAATAGTATTGAAAATATCTAACTTATTTCTGAAAGGAATACCAGACAATGTGGGGAGGGACAAGGAATGAAGAGTAATATTTGAAAGGATAATGACTAAGAATTTTGTAGAGAGATGAAATCCTCATATTCAGAAGCCCAACAAATTCGAAACATGATAGAAAAATAAAATCCACACCCAACTGCATTGTAATGAACCTGCAAGATTCCAAAAACAAAGAAAATACCTTAGAATGAATAAGCATGACCTATACCATGTGGCAAATGATTCTAGAAGGAGGGCTCAAGGACAAGTCACGCCTACCGTAGGCCTCTAGAATACATACATGGTTTTTCTAAAATGGAAACATTGTGGCTGAATTAGTTGCAAAAGAGTATCAAATTGCTGAGGCTTTTTATGCACATTTGTAAAGAAGAATCAAGTTCATCAAATTCTGCTCCTGTTAGTCATGCCTAAATGTGAGACAGTTTCTAAAGGATATATAGTAAACTACTGAGAAGAAACCATGGTTAGTGAGTCATTTATTTATTTAACTAACTTTACTAGAAATTTTTTGCTTCCTTATGTTTGTGGTTTGTATACTTTAATTACTTACCTGCCCTCCTGCCCCACTCTTCTAAATGTGTTAATGTGGAGAAGTGGTAAAAATTAATAGTTAAAAACAGGATTTGAGGCAGACAGATCCTATTTGTTCTAGCATTTACAAAGAAAGTGGTTTCAGGCAAATAACAGTTCTGAATTTTGGTTTCTTCTACTATAAAATGTTAATACTCATATTTACTTTAGAAAGTGAATGAAAAAACTAAAGAAGTGAATAGGCAGGCATTCATCTCTCTATGCTCTAGGAGCCACATCAAATTACCCATAGTCTTTGCGAACGTATTATCCATTTCTTGGCTTAAAGCTTATACTCATGCTGTTCCCTCTACCTAAATCCCTTTACCCTGCCTCCTTCCCCTGCACCTGACCTGACATATAAAGGAACTAAGATCTGAGGAATGGTCTTAGTTTGTGTATCACCTCCTCCAGGAGACCTTCCCATAATCTCTCAAGTCTGGGTTATTGGCTCCTCATCTATATAAGCTGTCAGAATTACATTTGCTTCATATTTTGTCTCATTTCACAGGGTATGGTGGGGGGGGGGAGGCTTTAAATCAACACAAATAACTGACTTGCCAAAGATTATAAAACCAGAGAGTGGCAGAGCCACAGCATGAAGCCAGGAATCCTGATTTTTATCCTCCATTACTCAATTATCTCCATTACTCCCACTTTTAGTTACCCAGCTCCACCCTGGTTACACCCAGACTGTGGGACACTGAGACATAAAACCTCCAGAAAGAGACCCTCTGTGGCTTTCTAGGTGAGGTGCATTTCTTCCCCATGACACAGTAAGTCATCAGGCCATCAGGCCATCTAAGACATCCTGACTGCTGCTACCTTCAGTAATGCCAGCCTTGCCCCACTGGATCATCAAATGCTATAATCTTGGTCTGGACTGAGAGCTGTTTCTGCATTTTCTTCTGGATGCCAACAAAAATATATCATTTTAATGTAGCCAAACCTCACTCCAGAACTTGCCATTGACACCGAGATTTTTCTCTACTCTTGAGATTCAGTTATTGTCATTGCTGAAAACAATTGTTCCCCCCACCTTGCACCTCCCCTCCTACCTTGAAACACACATTTATTCACCCATGACTGGGCCCTACCCCATGGAACAGGGAGCTCAGGGTGAAGGAGGGGCAAACTCACTGTTCCTCTATTTTTCTACTTTATTAACACTACAGTTCATCCAGTTGCCTAAGCCAAGGATTTAGGAGTCATCATAGACTAACTTTCCTCTTCTGCCCCATATCCAGCCAGGCTCTAGGCCCTGCCACTTCTCCACCTTCTTTACCCTTCTCCATTCAGTCCTCCTTTCTCTTCCTTCTGCCATTGTCCTAGTTCTGGTAGTCTCAAACTTTTAGCAGTTTCCCTGAAAATGGCCTCCTAAGCAGTAGTATCCATGACTCTGGTCTGTTCCTATTCCTGTCAGTCGGATTCACTACAGAGTGACTGTTCCAAAACATGAATATCAGTGGGTGAGAAGAATCCTTCATCTATGAGGCAAGCCAATCATTAAAAACAACCATTAATCAGATCCTTTCTGGAAATTATCCATTATTCTTCAGATTTGCCTCAAAACTCACTGGGTGGATCCAATTTTGATTCATTTTTCTTGGAGTCATTCAAGTTTTGATCCCCGCCCCCCAGCACCATCTGTCAAAAAGGGACCCATATTTCTATTGTCATTTCATTTTGTTTAATTTGCTGTTTCTTACCTATGGGCCAAAGCTTACATCAGCAAATAGGTACATGTGTTATATTTATTGAAAAAACATATGTATGGTAAAAATTTAAACAGTGTAAGGGTTATGCCATTTTTTTTAAGTAAAAGATAAGTTTCCTCCCACGTCAAATGCTGAGTTGTCTGGTTTCCATCCCTAGGAGTAAGGATTTTTACCAGTTTTGGTGGACTTATATTCTCAGAAATGTTCTCTACATATTCCAGCATATCTGATGACATAAATGAGAGTCTCATTTCAGTACATTTATTTACTTATCTATTTACTTGTTCAGGATGGGGATTTGGGACAGAATATGTTGTTGCTGGTATGTACCATTGTTCAGTTTCCCGGTCTATTCTGATAGACATTTAGGTCTTTCTGGACTTTGTTTTATGTGAGAAATAATGCTTTAGTGAACATTTATGTATTTTCATTTTATGTCTATACAAGTTATGCAGGCATTCCTCTAGTACAGATATATAGAACAGGAATAACTGAATCAAAGGGTATGTGCATTTTACATTTTGATGAACATTGCCAAAACAGTTCCCAAGAATTTGCACTAATTTAAACTCCCTCTATTAGACTATGAAAATGAAATGCACTGGTGATAGTCTTTGTCAAACACTTTGGTCTTTGCTAGACTGATAGGTGAAAACTATTATCTTATTGTTTGAGTCTGTATTTCTCTAATTGAATGATGGTGGGCTTCTTTTCCTTTCTCTCCTTTTTTTCTTTTTTTTTTTTGCAGCCATTTATACTTTACTTTCTGGAAAATTTTTTTCATTATCGGTTTTATCATTTATTTGTAAGCTACCTGTAAATATTTTTTTAAAAAAACCATTTTTATGCAAAATAAATTGCAAAATATTTATTCTGTATTTTCCATTTGTATTTTTATTTTATTTTGTTTTATTTATTTTGAATAAAACAACAGAAAGAAACAATTATTTTAGTGTAGTTAATTCATTAAATTTGTTCGTAATGGTACCTAGAGTTTGTGTTTTGCTTCCATGGCACTTCTCCATCCCAAAACCTGGTTTGTTCAAATTGAGAGGTTTGAACCAATCACTCCCCGAAATAGATATTCTCTAAATTAGGACTGCTGGAAAACAGGCTTATTAGTGAATGGGTCACATACATCATACCTAAGAATAATGAACTTACATTTAAGAGGTCTTTTCAGGGCAGCCTGGGTGGCTCAGCAGTTTAGCACCAGCTTCAGCCCAAGGCGTGATCCTGGAGACCCAGGATCCAGTCCCACATCATGTTTCCTGCATGGAGCCGGCTCCTCTCTTTGCCTGTGTCTCTGCCTCTCTCACTCTGTGTCTCTCATGAATAAATAAATAAAATATTTTAAATAAATAAATAAATAAATAAATAAATAAATAAATAAATAATCTTTTCAATCTGGAATGTTTACAAGTAGTTCATGTCTTAAAATGAATCGATATATCCTAGCAATGTCATCTTCAGGGAAGAACAAGGGTAATTTTAAGCTTTAAACATAGATATATGTGTGTTTGTGTTTTGTTGATATATACACATAGAAGTATATGTGTAAATATTCAGTAAAAACTACATATATATAGTATTTTTATATTGAATATGTGTACATAAACATTTTGTATTTTATACAAAAATACTACATACATTCTTGCATACAAAATACACTAATATATATTTGTATATAAAAATTATATATTTTTTTTCACTGAAAAATAAATTTAACCATATTACAATATATTTTGTATAATAAATGAGGAAGTAATACCCAAGTCCCCCTATAGTAATATACTGCTATTATTTTAGTACATTCCCTTTCCATCTGCTTTCCCATGTATATATAGTTATAAGTATAATGGCATAAGCCATCTTTAAGGGACACTATAAAGGAGTGCCCTGTTAGATCAAAGAAACACCAGCAGAAAGAAACAAGAGGTATAGTGCCTTGGAAGCAGAAGTTGAGGAGAGGGGTTTTTAAGAAGTTGAGTGAGGCCTGCATCCCATCTTTGCCTGCCCACACCCCAAATCAGGGCACAGAAAGATGCAGAGTACT